AGCAGAGAAGTTGCAGAAAAAATTGTGAGTAATAAAATGTTTCAAATGATTACTATAATAATAGTAGTAGTATTTATTTTTAATTGATGTAATTGACACACTTTGCATTTAATGCCTCATATAGGATTCATTACAGCAGCAAGTCTCCAACGGAGAATTCACTGAATGTGGGAGGGATGATATATTGAGTGCAGCATTAGGGAAGAGTGAACATCCTGGTCGTGTTAGAGGCGCAGGCGAAGGAGTTACTATAAAAGAATACTTTGGCCGAAAGTCACGATGCAATGATAAGTACATTTCTTCAGATGCGGTCCAACAAATGATTAGAAAAGCAATAGCAGATACAGAATCTAAAGTTGCTAAAGATTTTAAGATGCAATTTGACACAATGCAACAGAAAATGGATGCAATGGTGCAGACTATGATGTCATGTAATGCAAGTCCTGCATCAATTAGTCCAGATCGTGCAGCAGGCATAAGTACAGGCCCTTCAAAAAGTGGAAAAGCAAGCTGTGCAGACCCATTTGAAGTAATACCTTTGGTATGTAATAAATTAGATCATTTTTATATTTTTAAGAATATATTTCATTATTAAATTGCTTACTTTTTAAATGATTGATTATTGTAGACAGGAGAAAAATGTATATGCTATTTGGAGGACCCCAATAAACGAGTTGTGGCATATGGGAGAGTTTTTAAGTCAGGGGGGATGCTTCACAATAAACTTCTTTCTAATGATTGTGTGAAAGTAGTTGTTGAAAAGGTAGTTGATCCTGGTGCAATGGTACCTTACCCAGATGATGAGGTCCAGACTGTGGATAATGCATTATCTCAATTTATTGCTTGGCCGAAAGTGTTAGTAGAGTTGGGTACTGAAATTGAGGTATGCAATATATTTTACTTTACACATATTAGTATTGAACATTAGAATATTGGCTGGAACTGAAACTGAATATTGAAATCAATACGGTACTCCAGCAACAAATGGCCAAAGCAAAAGTGTTAAATGTGCCATCTTTGGATCCTGATTGCCCTTCAACCGTGGATGTTAGTGGCATGCCTAGAGAATTTCAATTGGCAAAGACATTGGCAACTGGTTTGGATGCAGTAGAGTTCATTGATATAAATATGGATGCCGACATTGTTGGAAAACAATATGGATTCCATATTTATCGGGAGGAAATTGTGCGCTTTCTTAAGATGGAGACTCTTGATATATGTGCTATCATGTTATTCTCCATGTAAGTTATAAACTTAATTCATATATGCAAACAGTGAGGGCAGATTGTGACTTGGGATATTGCTTATTGTGTTCTGATAATAGTTTATTTTTTTAACAGATTTCTTTATCAACATTTTGACTTGAAGTCAAATAAAAAGTTCGGACTCTTATGTCCAAACATGGTTCAACAGATTACAGATGACAATGAGAGGATTGAATACCTTGTTGGCACTATTCTGAAAGGAACGAAAAAGTATTATCTTGCACCATATTATGAAAGGTAAGTTCATTTGTTTGAGAAAAAAGATATCATTTAACAGATATGTTTAAAGGTTTGAATACTTCTCTTGTTTGATAATTAACTATATTTGATAGCGGGCATTGGACTCTATGTGTTATCTGTCCAAGCACGTACGAGGCGTTCTGGTTTGACTCAATTGGTGGCAAACCATCTAAGGATATCAAGCAAATAGTAGATGTGTATGTTATTTAATTTCTTTTAGTAAATCAACTTTATTAATTATATTTTGTCATTGTTGACTATTTTTATTTGAACTTGAGATGCTATTGATGTTTTGAGCGTTTGTTCTAATTTTATTTTGAAATTATATATTGAAGACTTCATTTTCTTTGAACACACATTAATAGGTCATTTAAAGAAGCTGCACTCAAAGGGAGGACTTTTGTAAATCGATACAAATCTACAAAATGGACTATTTGCCCGGTAAGAAGCTTATATATAGTAGGTGAGATTTGTTGTACTCTAGGGTATATAATTTATATTTATTTGTGTGAAATGTAGTGCCCAAAACAAGGGGGAAATGTTGAATGTGGTTACTACGTCATGAGGTTCATGTATGATATTTTATCTTCGAAACACAATCCCGACTCAATGAGCAAGGTAATTTAATAAAACATATATACCGTTATGTTATTATACCTGATTTTTTTATTAGAATTATGTTATATTACTGATTTTTTAATGTATGACGTTATCTTTGATTACCAATTTTTTCCAATTAACGTTTTTATTCATATATTTTTGTAGGTGTTCGATCGTAATGATAAATATACACAAGCTGATTTGGATTCTGTACGAGCATTGTGGTGTAAAGTTTTGTGTAGATGTAGTTTGTGACATCGAATTTAGAACATATATATGGTGTTGGCAGGTCTTTTCAGATTTTAAATTATTGAACAATTGTATTTGACGTTTTGGTTTAGTGACTTGAATGTATTTCAATTGGTTTTGTGACTTGAATGTATTTCAATTGGTTTTGTTGAAATGTTGTGGATGGTTTAAAAAATAGGAAGGCAATGCAGGGCAGATTGTGTGAAATGTTTGGCATTATTTATGTGGACAGCGTGTAGCATTGGATATAGTAAAAAAAAAAAAAAGATAACCTATTACGTCGGTTATTAAAATAAACCGTCGTTATAAGTCATTTAAAAAACGGAAATTTTGAACATTTGACGTCGGTTATACGTAAAAACCGACGTTATTAATAACCTATTACGTCGGTTATTTAAATAAACCGTCGTTATAAGTAATTAAAAAAACGGAAATTTTGAACATTTGACGTCGGTTATACGTTGGAACCGCCGTTGTAACTTATTTATCACGTCGGTTCCATAACCGACGTGATAGGTTCCTACCTACAACGTCACTTACATGCACGACCCTTAAAAAACCGACGTGAAATGTGACATTTAACCGACGTTATATATCATTCCTGTAGTAGTGCATGGGAGGATGGCATCTTCTGGAGTTGAAATTCATGCAAAGGATTGACAGATGCCTTATATGTTGTAAATTAATGTATCTTTATGTTTTTTATCTTTTCGAATCACATTAATTTAATATGTTTATGTAATTTATGTATTTGTTAGGCAACGTGAATGTAGATGATTATTTTCTTATTTACAATGTTCATTATGTCTAGTAAAAATGGTGTTTTGTTTCATATACAAAGAAGTTTGTGTGACGATGTTTATTAGATATGTGTGCAATCTATCTAACTAAAGAAGTTAATTATATGATTCAAGAAAACTGTCTCTTGCTTTTTGAAAAGATTTATCGCTTCGCAGTTTTCTCTTCATAAATAAGAGCGTCAACAAAAAGTTAGTGGTTTATGAATATCTTAGAATAAGAAAATGTGAACTCTTATTCTTATTCTTTTATTGCTATTACGTTATCTCATGGCTAACACAATTGAAAATTGTTAGTAAATATAGCTAATTGAGTTAATTAGAATTGTAATGAGATTATTGCACTAAAATGAACATAATTCTTAAAAATGATCGTTTGTGTAACGTGGTAAAATGAGAGTCATAACAACATATATATGTGTCACGTACGTGTAAGTGAATCCAATGATTTAACGATGGTTTACGAACACCCAAATAGCGCCAAAGGCCATTATTCAATTGTTCGATATCAATTTCATGTGTTTGGATTTTTAATTTATTTTTGATGGTAAACTAATCAGCTTTATTAAGAAATATTGTCATGTGTCAATTGACTTACAATGCATTGAGAAACTATATCATAATCATGACTACATTCTGGCGTTGAACCGGCCGCTTGATGGTAAACTATATCATGCTTTATAAAGCATGTGCATCTCGGTTCGCAGAACGTTTACAAAATTTAACAATAAAATTCTTGTTAAGCATTAATTCACTCCTAATATCAATCTAAGAGTAATTCCAAATAAGATAAACCGCCCTCCCCCTGAATCACAACAAGAGCATCAGATTCGAATTCCACCCTTTCCCAGCAATTCTATAATGCCCACTACAGTGCTTGACACTCCTTCATTTAAATATAAAAAAATAGTAAGAAAGTCTCGGCAATATAACTTCTATTCCAAAGCAAAATGAGGCTAGCGCTTTGGGGTAATCGTTCTCTTCCAAATCTATACATGTTCAACTTGCCTTAAAATAGATTTATAACTTTGACTTTACAGCTCATTAATATAATTAAACTGCTAGCTAGCTTGAATATACTTCCTCTTCAAAAATGATTTGCAAGTTTACTTTAATTTTTGGTCGATATAATATAATTTCATTTAATTCTTGTTTAGGCTATCGATTTTTAATCATATTCAAATTTAATATAGACTGTTCAATATAATTTTTGAATTTGTAAATTTGAAGTATTAAATCGAATTTAACCATTTGTGGGTAAAGAATTAGCTATTATGGTCAATCTCAAATTGCAAATGAATTTGGGATGAAGAAAGTATTTATGTCAATTTTAATTAGAAGCAGGTATATTAGTATATTCAATTTTTTTTATCTGCGAACACGAGTCACATATAAAAAAATAGTCTTCTCACATTGTGGATACAAGAGTGGGTATAAAGGGTGGGTACATGGACGGAGCTACTTGTATGTGTAAGGGGGCCAATGGGCCATGGCCCCTCCCATTTTTTTTTCTCTAAGTAGTACTATTATAAAAGTTTTGTGACCCCCCCCCCCCCCAAACAAAATTATGAGACACTAGTTGCTAATTACTACTAATATCTTTTTGTTACCAATTAATGTTATATGGAGTAAGTAATATGGATTTGATATAAAAATCTGGGCCTCTAATGATTTTTATCAATTAATATGAAAGTATTAATAAATATATAAATGATGTGAGAAAATGACAAACTAAGTTTTAATTGACCTATTTTTTAATTTGAATATAGTATTGGTATACTATTTTATTTTGCTACAATATTTTTTTTTTATAGAGATTTGCATTTTTAATCCCATAACTTTCGTGTATGACCGTTACTAGTCGTACAACTTTATTCTCTTGCAATTTTGATCTTGCAACTAATATTTCTTGGCAATTTTAGAACTTGTCTACTAGAAAGTACACCTTACGATCGAAAATTCGACGTCGGCGACATATTTCACAATACTTTATGTCCACCCTATTTTATAATTTTATACTTGGATTATTTCCGGCCCCCTTTGCACTCCAGTCTGGCTTCGCCACTGGGTGGGCACAAACAGAATTTTCAACAAGTTTAGGGGCTATGAGCCTATGAAAGGGGGACACTTTCCCCTTCAAATTAAATAGAAGTGAAACATAAACAAAGTGTAAAAGTAAGAATAGTTATGTTTTATTTTCAAAAATGGAGGTATTCGGTTTATTGAAAATATAAAATTTCCTCAATTAGGAGTGGATGAGTCTTATTCTAGAAAGAATAAGATAGTGACAATTCTATTTGTACATTTTATCTATGTTTTAATCCTATTTAAGAAATTTTCTCCATTTCGTTCCTATTTATGGTGTCAGCCGGACCCACATATGAACTTGTACTCAAACCCATATGCATTTCCAAAGCATGACATCAATCCTACGCTGGACTGGCTTCTCCGCCGGTGATGGTGGTGGCGACGATGATGTATTCCTGATCTTGATTTCCTTATCGGCGACGATGAGCCTTCCCCACTCAACTTGTTGTCTCCTATTGTGGGCGAATGCATAAAATTTTCTTCCATTAATTCCCACGAAAGTGATGAAATGCTCATTGAATCTTTTCTCACCGTTTGATCTTCTATATTATTGTTATTACTCTCTCCGTCCGGGATAGACCAATTTTCGAATATGGAACTCCCGTAATCTTCTTCTTCACCAGAAAGGTATCCTTTCGATAGACCCGTTGTCATTTTCGATGGTAACGGGTGCATCTCGGAGATGTACGAAATAAAAGATCGGCGTGAGTTTTTCGCCTCGTCCTCTGTCTCTGACATGTTTGTTGTCGCCTGCATAATTTCATCCTCACCAGCAGGAACCTCCGAGGTTTTATTCTCATCCTTATATTCTTCAAACATGTTTGACCCCTTTGAAGCACTACTAAAAATAATGAAGATATAAAAAGAAATATTAGTAAAACACAAAGTACAAATAGAATTATCACCGTTTCCTCTAAAATAACTCATCCAATCCTAATTAAAGAAGTTTTGTACTTTTAAAAAGATTAAATAAGTCAAATTTTGGGAATTAACGTACACGACTACTCATATCGTTGCACTTTACATCTCTGTTTCACTCATAATTTGAAACAATTTCTTAAGTCTGAAATCAAAACCTATATCCTAGAGATGTTAACAAATACGTAGTAATTCACAAGTTATGACAAAAGCTAGCTCATTATATTGAATCATTTTTTATACAAACATTATAACAACTTATTATATAAAATCAGTGAGCTGAGCTGCATAACGATGTATAAATTTATTTGTCTACTGATCATATGATCATCAATTGTTTGTTACTCGCTTTATACTCGCTCTGTAAATGTAATACGGAGTAAAAGATACATTACCTTTCAGTTTGTGGGCCGGGGTCTTTGATATTTTTTTCTAGAAAAAAATGGTCAAACAGACCCTTCTAGTATTTTCAAACCATCATCCAAGTCCCTATACTAAAAAAAAAGCATCATTGAAGAACGTTTACTTTTAAAAATTGTTTAGTATATCCATATAACCGGTTTATTATGGGATTCTGCTGTGAATGAATATCTCTGTGAAAGCTTTAAGGGTTACGGGATATAATTGCTTACCTGCACAGAATTTGAACACTTGGAAAAGAATGTTCAGGAAAAAAAAAATTAATGCTCGCATCTTATGAAAACAAGATCTCAATCACGAACGACAATGTTTTGGTGAAAAATTGATTGAGGGCTCGAGATTATCTAGATAGGGATCGGCTTTGGGTTGGGTGTTTTCTTATTAGTTTCTTTTTTGTTTGTACTCGTTATTTATCTTTTCTTTTATGTTTTAAAAAAATATAACCATTTTTGACTTGTAATAGCAGATTCTTTATATTGAAAATACTCTAAAATTGTTAAAATTCAAATAAATATAAATAAAATATCTGAACAATTTAAAAATGTGAAACTCAATTTATGATTTAATGTATTTTACATATTCACTTTTTTGCATTATTCTGATTTTTTTTGTTTTAACATTTTTAAATTAGATATCTTATTTCCCTTCATTTTTATGAGTGTATATATTATTATTACATTATTTTTTCAACTTCTTATGAAATTTTATAAAAATTATTAATTTTTCTAATTTATTTTTTCAAAACAACTGGTTGTAGCAGGTCAAAATGACTTGAGTGACTGTATTTTCAATGTAAGCATATTCATATGATACTTTGTTTTAGTACGGGGCTCAGGTGACGATTTGAAATAGTAGAAGAGTCTATTTGACTTTTTTTACCTTTTTTCTAATTACTCCATAATTTAGCCTTCCTACATGTTGTACACGCCCTTCTTGTACACATTTCATGTACATCGTTTGTGAAGATTTTTTTATCTGTAAAATCTATTCAATGATAAATTATACTTCGTATTTTTTGTCTGTGAATAGGTTTCGCAAAAATACAAAAATTAAAATTACAGATGACGTGTATGGAGCATGTACAAAAAGGGACATTTTTTTTCAATTTATCATCACCAAAATTTAAGAGAACCAACAAATTAAACATACCCTTTAGTTTCATCATCATTCACTTCTTCTATATTTGTCTGGGATGGGACATTTAAATGGCAGCGGATACCGCCGGTTTCTTTGAATTGGATACTAACATTGAGGGTTCCTTGTAAATGTCCGGTGGGGCGGCGGACCGGAAGGGCGGCGGTCCTTATGGAGGAATTATTGGCCAAAAGTGGTGGAAAGAAGTTGTTTAACGCAAGCTTGGCGGTGCCAATGGGAGTGTCACGTAGCCATGCAACGCTATAGATTTCGAAATTGACGGCGGCGTCGCCGGAGCCGAGAAGCTGGTTTTCGAGGCGGAAGGTGAACTTGTGATTCCACGTCGGGTTATTGTGGCCATCACGATTGATCCTCGTCGTCAACTTATGGCCGGAATCTAGCCATGCAACGGCGTACGTGCGGAGGGGTTTCGACACCGGAGGGAGATCGTGGGCGGAGATTAGGATGATTTGTAGGAGAGTGTGTGACGGTTGTGTGGACATTTTGATCTAGAAACGCCGGCCGACGGCCGACATGCAGGACAACGGTAGGCCAGGAAAGTTGTCGTCGTCGCCGTCCGGTAGCTGGACGGCGAGCGACAAAAACAATATGTACAGGAGAAAGCGAGAATGTGAATGCATGAGATGTAACAGTTGCTTTCCTATTACATGTATGCAAATTTGAGTATTACCTTAAATAATCAATGAACAATAAATAGACCAATATTGGTAGAAACTCTATGTCGATCTTACGAAGTATTTCATTCTTTTCCAAATAAAAGAGTTTTGGGATGCGTATTGACCACATATTTACACTTTAATGTGTAATACAAGTCACAACTACTACGTCTGTCTCAAATTGATTTGAAAAATCAATTTCTTTTGTTAATCAATGTAACAATGTTAAAGTTAAATCCTCCTTATTGATAAATAATTTAATTTTAATAATTAAAATTTACATAGTTAGAAAATACATTACAATCTCTTTAAAGTTTTTTTTGAAGAAGGTGGCTTAGCTTAAATTGATATCAAAGCATTAGCATTCAGAAAGGGAGTAAAAAGAGTAGAGAGCCACATCCAACCGTCAGCCGGCCGCGAACAAGACTCGGAGTTAATCACCTTCAAACAAGCAATATAACTCGTTGATCCATTAATGGGCAAACCTGAGCCACAGACAATTGAAAAAGACCCGAACTCACCCGATCCTAATGTAAGAGTCTTACAAATTACAATTGAAAGAAAAAACAACAGAAAAAACACAGTCTAATCAACAACCAAAATAAAAATAGCAATAAAATAATTATTCTTCTCCAAAGCTAAGAGCATCTCCACTGATGCCTCCTATGATCTTCTCGGCCACCCCACAAAGTCCGGTGAACGTACAGGAGGTCCGCCTCCGCTCCGTTTTTCGTCCGTCAAGTGTCATGCTTTCCCCTGCCATAGTATCCTGTCTCCCTTCCTCCCATGTTCTTCTGCGCTTTGGCTCCCCCGAATTCTTTTCAGGACTAACTGAGTTTCCTTCCTTGATAGAGCTATTCCCGGTGTCTGTAGTCTCCTTCCAGTGCTGCCTCTCCGTGTCCTGACTATCTGACATCCCCACCCCAGTACTGGAGAACCCCTCAATCAACCACTTTGTACCCCATGTGGGACTGATCTTCACCCTGGTCCCAGCTCTAAGGCCCACTCCATAGTTTTTATCAAAAGTGATATTTTCCCCTTCATATACTACCGGGCAAAACTTATCTGAATGCCCAATAATACCGCAAACAAAACAGAAGTTTGGAAGTTTTTTATATTTAAAGTCCACCCATTGGCTAACACCCACCTTTTTCAACATAGTACCTTTTTTCAGGGGTCTTCTAATATCCATACGAACTCTAATTCTCAGATAAGGCTTAAAATTTTCATCAGATTTCTTATCATCAAAACTAATGAATTTTCCAATGTAATCTTCAATCCGTCTAGCATAACCCAGGTTCATAAATCCATAAGCACGATTGTGCACTTGCACCCAAAAATCAGCCTCATAAAGGTTAATTTGTAAGGGAATATCTTCCGCCTGAATTTCTTTTAACAATAATAAATTTCGTTCGAACAGCCATGGGCCTTCGTCCAGAACACGCCTCATATCTAAAATATGATAAAAGGTAAAGATGTACCTTTTGTCACCAATTTCCTGAGATGAAACACCTTTCACAGGTCTCCACAACGAGGCCATCAATTCTTTGAAGAATTGAAATTTTTATCTTACGATCAGTCAGAATTACTCCAACCACAGGAAAATCAGGCGTACCTTTGTGCGAAACCTCTCCTTCTTCTTCATCGAAAAATACTTCTTCCTTGTCATCCCCAATAGCCATATGTTTGTATTGGTGAACCACGTCTTCCATTAATTTATCAATGTTGCTGCTTTGAAACCTGCCCACTGTCGCTTGCTTCATCCTTTGACCGAACTTCTAGTCGCTCTGCTGAACCCACAACCTTCGTACGATTTCCTCCCGCCACCACGCGAGGGTCGTTCCCCTCTCGAAACGAAAAATAGAAATCAATAAAACGGAGGCTGCACATCGGAAGCTATCCGAGAGCAGAAATCGTAGACCCTAGCGATCGAGTCCTAAGGAGAAATTTTAGTATTATACTTTGACCCTCTTTAAAGTTGTAAAGTCCAAATCATATTTTAATAAAAAAAATGATGTCCTAATTAGGTGAACAAAATGATATTGTTTATCAAAAAATTGTGTTTGCAAATCAATTTCGGATGGAGGAAGTACTAGTTTATGCGCAGTACTTTATATTACCTTTCTTCTATTATACATTGTCAACTTTGCGTTAGATGTGAAATGACAGAAGTAACAAAGATATGATTCAAAGTTGTGCATATGACAGATAAATAAATAAATAAAACCACAAATATTTCCCAAAATAGAACTAAAAAGGTTTGAAAATTCCAAAATAGGACTGTCATGTTTTTATTCCTAAAGTAGGAATAAAAAATTATGAAATTTAATATATTTTTGTAAAAATAGGAATACAATTAAAAAAGTTATATGACTACAAATAAAATAAAATAAATTAACATGGGATTCATCTACTACTTTTTGTTCATTGGCCCTTTCCCCTACTTTTTGCTTTTACTCCTCTCTATTGAGAGTGAAAAGTGGGTTGATTATTCTCATCTCTGAGTCCTAGCCATTCACTTTCCCTCTTTCCTATACCATTGATTGTATAAAAAATTGGGATGTAAACATTAAATTTATTCTTTTCACTCCAAGATTGCAACTAGTCTAATAGCAGGTTTTTAATATTTCAAAACTCTAAAAAAATTGTTAAAGAATGAAGAATTATATACAAAAATTGTGAAAATTTTTCAGAATAAAGTCAATAATTTCTAATTTTTAAAATACTTGTATATATTCGTATTCTGTACAGACGTTCGTCTTCGTCTTATTGACCTTAACGGGTCAGGACGTCCGACAAGGGGTTTATGGGTCGATCCTCTAATTGGGCCATGAACCCAACAACCTCGTTGAAAAGATCATATCGAGAATAAAATTTGTATTCAGCCTTCATTTACAAAATACTATGACAATGGTACCTTTTACACCAAACATCTAAATCAAGACACTATTTATGGAAATTGGCTCTATTTACTTCAAATATGCTCTATTTGCTTTTAAAACACTAAATTTACAAAATAAAAATAGACAACTATTTATGTTAATCAAATCTCGTTGTATGGTCTTCTATTTCAAGCATTTGATATATCTAAAAGATGTTATGGAGTTCTAAAACTCATTCTCATAATCCATCTACAAATTATTAAAGGATTAGTATGTATTAGTTGCAATAAAAAACATTGTTGAGGTTACTTCGAACAGGCAAAATTTTTCTTGTTGTCATATCTTGTTGTGCATTCTTCTATTTAAAGTGTTTTACATCTCACTAGAAAGTGATAAACGATTTATTGAACTAATGTTCAAACTTCATTTACAAGAACGTTAAAGGATAGGTATGTATGACTTGACTCAAACGGAGTAAGCATTGATTTATTTTGTTCTGTTCGAAGCCGCTTATACCTCATTCGCAAGATCATAGTGAGTTCTAAAACTCATATTCAAATTACTTTTACAAATTATTACATGGGCACCTTTTACACCGAAATGCGAAATCAATACTATTTGATCCATTTAGGCTCTGTTTATTCCAAATATGTTGTATAAAATGACATCTTCTCCATCCTCCCTCCCCCTCCTTCTCCTCATCCTCCTTCATTGCTAAGAAGGAACCAATGAGACTCCATGTCCCATTCGGAAGTCGGAACTGGGAAGGACAATTTAACCAAAATTTTACATTTTGTACCACACCATGCTGATTTTTATACAATACAATATGATATCTGTTTTAGACCCACCACCGGTTATTGGGTTGGGATTTAGAACTTGAAAGAAACTAATAGATTTAAGTTTGAAAGAGATTAAATGACATTGGAAGACATATATTACCCTATGCTCAGCCCTAAACCAACTTCTGGGAATAAAAGACCAACTCAACCACAATTCCACATACATTGGTTCTATTCCTTGGCAATTAAGCCATCACGTTTTTGAGCTGATATAAGTTTTAGTAAACACATTTTTGGGAAGCTAAAAAAACCCATACTTGTACATAAATAGACCCTCCGAAATACAGCAGCCCACAAGTGACCAACTCATGAAAAAACCCTTCAGACTTTTTTATTTCTAGCTTCTGCTTTCCAATGTCTTCTGCTGCTTGTGAACTTAATTGATTCACAGTTAGCCTGTGCGGGGGAGATATCGAGGGCACTCCTGCAACTTGTCACCTCATCCAGTTCATTCTTGTGTGCTTTGGGCATGTTTGTGGCAGCATCATGTCTAACATTCTGCTGCTTTAGCTCTTGGGATTTCCGTGCATCTTTTTTCCAGTCTCGTGCACAGTAGGTACGGGTCACAGGTTCCTGAAAGGCTTTTATGAGTCTTGGGCGTTCCCAGGAAATGGCATTGTTGGGTGTTTGGTAACCTGGAGTGACAACCTGTACTGGCACTTCAAGTAGGACTGTGGGAGAACAGTGGTCAGCTGGCAAGTCTTTAACGTCTTTGTGTTTCATTTTGAAGGGAAATTCTAGGAAAGGAAAAAGTGGAGAAAATTCGAAGCTTAGAAAAATTGAATAAAAGAGTAAAGATACTGTATATTAGGGAACACATGCAACCATTAAACGCAAAAACAAGCTAATCAGGCATTCATTCTATTTTTTCCAGTATATCCAGGGCTGCTCCGTGACAGCCTGGTATTGTTCTTATATTTTTATTTTGAAATCTTTTATAATCAAACTCATGACTTTTACATATAATATATCAAATTTAACAAAAGCTTGAGGGAAAAAATGATCCTTTTTTGAGGGAAAGTCGTATATGTGTTATAATAAATAATTAAATACAGAGTATAAAAAATGCATAAACAATAGCTAATCAATGAATATTGATCACGACTGATTTACAGTTTGAGGGAAAAATGATCCTTTTTGAGTTAATACACTATCAAATAAATATTGTAAAAAACCATTTAAAAGTTAGAACCAGAAATAATAGTTAGAGCAATATAATTGCTCATATTATAATCAATACTTCATGAATATTAAAAAAAAAATTGATACAAAGCATGGAAATAAAAGTTGGAGCAATTCAAAAATAACACAGAAAAACAACATTGGGCTGCCACGCGCACCCCAGGATTGGCTTAACAGAGAAGAAATGAAAGGACAGTTACTACTTTTGTTAAAGATAAAGGCATATTTATTCCAACAGTACAATGTTTGTGTTTAATTGTTTCAAAAAACATTTGAAAGATACGACTTCACTGAGAAACAGTTCAGGTGTATAACTGTTCCTAAACATACCCTTAGTGTCTAATGCCGCTGCAAATTCTGGAGGTGTGACAGGGATTGGTAGTGTACGGTGTGGAGTATATTGCCTTGAGTCACTCTCAGGAGTCTTGTCAATATCAGTTTGGAGACGTTTCCTCGCTCTATACCTGCGTTGTCGTTCACGGTTTTTAAGGCGACGGATCATAAGTTCATCTTGGCTCACAGACTCTTCCTGATTATCAAAAGGCTTCTCCAGAAAGCCATTTTCCATGGTTGCAGTAAAGTTCTGCTCTTTCATCACCTATATTTATACAAGCTCAAAAACAAGAAAAACTCAGCAAACTCACCCCCACGCCCCACTTGAGAAATTCTGCAACCCTGAGATAGCCCATTCAAAGTCTTGAAATTCAGTGAACACACGTTCTAGTGCTTTTCAGGCTCAGAATATTTAAAGTAATCATCTTTATGATCACCACATTACCAATGATTGAGCATCAGTGCATGGCTGGATGAATATGAGACCTAGACAAGTTTCATAAGACATACATAGTTGTTGAGGGAATGACAAATAATAATCATACAGAAACACAAAGGCTATGCTTGGAATGCAGAAAATGGTAAGGAAAGAAGAATACTACTAGCTCTTTTACACTTGTACCATGGAAAATACCAAGGAAAATCAAATTTGCTAGTTAAAAGTAATTTATGTTTTTTAATAAAAAATAACAAAGTTGTGAACAAAGTTGTTTTTCACACACCAAATATATCATACAGGGTTTCTACAAAGATCACCTTTGCTCTAACAAATGGAGAAATAAAATAATTTGCAGCCTAAAATGAGGAATGGAATTAATGGGCGTCAAACTTAGTTTTAAAAGGCAAGAGACAGCATGAGGTGTTTTGGGTCAAATTATCCGAGGCATGAGGCGAATGAGCGCACCTCACAGAACATAACCATATAACTATGAGAAAATTATCTATGTTGTGACTAAAAGATCAATCATTTCCCAATGTATGAGTCTTTGAGTTTTTTTCCAATATTACTACGTGTATGAGTATTTATAAGAAGTGTTTTACTCTTCCTAAATAGTAGGAATGATATGGATGCACGGTTATATGATTAATATGGTAACTGTTTTTATCATATTATGGGAAATCTCATGATATAGTCATATTGTCGGAAATCATCTATGTTTTAGTAATATTTCCATAATAATCCCTATAACTATAGTAAACTATATTTATAATACTTCCACAAAAAGCCATCTTCCCAAAAAAAAATTACATAACAAAAATACCTTAAGCCATTAAACAAGCTTAATAAACACCAATATCAGTCACAACTCACATTTCATTTCATTTCATTTTCACTTACCACAGTGCCGCAAAGACTCCCACCTATGGTGGGGTAGGGGGGGTCGGATGTACGCAGTCTTACCCCTGTACTAAAGCACAGAGAGACTATTCCCGGATGACCCATAGTGAAAATCGAGTCCAAAATTGCATCGAGTGACTGCTGCTTCATAACAAAGAAGCGCAGACAGTTTAGTGAGTCATTTTGCTTTATTCCATCATATTCTCAAGCCAAAAAATAATAAATTTTTGGCTCCATTGCAAATGATGGAAATCAGTCACAACTCACAACAGAAACAAGGTGTATATATATATATATAGAGGAATGTTCAGGTCCGAACATCCCCATTTGGGGCCCTTCCCGGTGGAATTTTTTGATGAAATTTTTTTAGCATGTTCCTCATCAAGTCTAGTTTGTCCATACCAAATTTCAGCTCAAAATTCGATCGGGAAGGCATTCAAATGATATTTTGAAGTTGACTGCGTCAAAATATACATATAAAAACGCAGTCAACTTCAAAAAATGATTTGAATGCCTTCCCGATCGAATTTTGAGCTGAAATTTGATATGGACAAACTAGACTTGATGAGGAACATGCTCAAAAAATTGCATCAAAAAATTCCACCGGGAAGGGCCCCAAACGGGGATGTTCGGACAGAGGATCCTGTCCGAACGTTCGGACAGAGGATCCTGTCCGAACGTTCGGACAGAGGATCCTGTCCGAACGTTCGGACAGGATCATTTATATATATATATATATATATATATATATATATATATATATATATATATATATATATATATATATATATATATATATATGCAAACAGTAGAAAGAAACACATTAAGCGCCAATTTATATTTGTACGGTAATTAAAAAGAAAAGTAGCAATCGCAAGCAAAGTAGTGAACTTATGGGCCGAGAATTCATCAATGTTATCATCCTCATTCTTAAGAGTAAATTTTTAATAAATTGCTATATATAATAAACTGTTAATAGTGATTTTAAACAATTAATAGTTATTTTTTTATGAACTTTTACGTAGTATATAACAAATTTTTAATAATAATAAATTTTCATATACAACTGTTATATAATAAACTATCATAAGACACGGTTAATACTATGTTCATTAAACTATCAAAAGTAAAAATTTGAACAATCTAATTGTAGAAATAATCTTTATTATTATTTAAAACTGCTAAACAATCTGATTTGGTGTAAGGTTTAGGCAGATTGTTATATGGACATATGGTTATATATTTAAATGAGGTTTTTACAAATTTATTACTATTATTAATTAGTTGGACAACAAAGTGACTAGAAATAAATATTTAATAAAAAACGAATGGATATGGAAAGATAATAAAATAAAATCTCATGATTGCCCCAACGGTTACCAAGCTTTTAAAGTCCGGACCTAATTTAAGGGAATTGGACTGAAACGTCAATTTGGAGTGGGTTGCATGGTAATTCCCCACTGCATCGAATCGATGTTTAAATCATTCGGATGAAAACTTTCATTGCATCAAAAGAGGAAGTCATTTTAGTTGTTTTTCATATTTTTTTTCTCTATTTAATTAAAAAAAAATATTTTAAATATAAGTTTTACATTAATAAGCAGAATCAGCTAATCCAAACACTTCAACCAAAATTTCATAAATTTCACCAGAATCAGCCAATACAGCCAATTTGAGTATTACCAAATGGCTCACAATGTTTTTGTTTAGTGGATTTGAAATCAATTGACGGCCACAATAGTTTGGTTTCATTTGTATTCTTTTCCATTGGAGGTCTTTTGTGAACATATTGTATAATACTCCGTATATAGTAACTTCAAAGTAGTAACTTATACTACCTCCGTCCCTTAAAACTTTGCCAAGTTTGACCGGCACGGGGATTAATAAAGTAAAAACTGTGTGGTTGAGATTTGTGCAAAGGAGAGAGAATTAACTGGAACCGCAAATTCTTTACTTGAAAGGGATAGTGGCAAAGTTAGTGGGACATCCAAAAAAGAAAGTTGGCAAAGTTTTAAGGGACAGAGGGAGTAATATAGTAATTGGCCCAATGGTAATAGATGGACAAACATAGTAGTCAATGGTGAGATATGGCGCGCGCCATATGCGCCATCGCCATGAAAAAATGGTCGTCGCCATAGCGCCATATGCGCCATTCTTATATGCGCCATCGCCATGCGCCATGAAAAATGCCTTTGAGCTACGGCAATCGCCATGCGCCATGACAACTATGTGGACAAGTAATTCATTAAGGTGACTTAGATATAGTATTGTATGATGAAGTTACTATGTGCGGTGAAGATAGTAGCTTACGTATTTTAAGAAGGCTTTCCAGAGAAACTTCCTTACGTGGGTTTGCGAAGAAGATGATAGAAGGGGTAGGAATCAACGGTACTTTAGAGTGATTCTTATCGTACAATAAGAAGAAGGGGTATAGTGGTAGTTGGTGGGAGTTTTGGGTGAAAACGAAATCTAATCTAATGACCAATATATAGACGTGAGGATAAATTAGGATTAAGGAAATTGTTATACTATCATTTAAATAATGAATAATCTTTAGTAATATTTATGTCCATGCCTTTAAACTAATAATATAAGTGGAAAATTTTCTTTAAATAATTTAAACTATTTGCTAAATTTGGAATAAAAATTAAAAAGTGAAAAAGAGTAAAAGGAAACAAAAACTTAATAACATACATGCGACGATGGGCAAGAGGAGCGGAAGAAAAGAGAAAAGCAAATGATAGCGAACGCATAGGGAGAGGCGGAAGAATAGAGGGGGAGAATTAAAGTTTGTGAATCGCCACGACAGATAGTCGACACCCATCCAAGAGGCACAAGAGGCATACTATACGCCTCTCAGAAGCGCAGAAAGCAATAAAAGGCAAGGGTTTGGGCCCCAATGAGTATCTACTGCCCCGGGACTCTTCTGTGCGATTTCCCCATGGCTTAGTTGCAACTTACGCTTTTTTAAACTAGGGTGTCAAGGAAAAGATATAAAAACAGACGGGGATTACGGGGAGCCCTTTTCAGGAACTGAAAAAAAGCAACATGCACCCAACAAATCAAAGTAAAGAACATACCATTTTTAGCCAAACACCAAAAGGTACAAAAAAGGAACATGGATACACGTCTACACTTTGAAGCCATCAGCCCATCTAAAGGTATTTCTCAACTTTGCACTGGAATATGAAAAATAAATTAATAAATGAACCAAGCAACCTTATCTACTGATCATAGTCTCATGTACCGAAATTCGGTGGTCTGCTTCCCAAGTTCCATCTTGCCTATCAATAACCTACATTGCTTGTAAATAGTATCAAGTTTGGGCACCAGTTTGGATTCAGTCATAAGTCAGAACAAACCAATACCAAATTTAAACAACCAACCTCATTTGCAAAAGTTCAAAGGTGCCTTCATTGGTTTCGACTAATTAATTATTAACCAAGTTTTTATCTGAAAACATTGTCCCATTTGTCCATGTCCTTCATTTTCTACCTCATACATTTTTTAATAAAAACTATGGCTCTCTTGTGGGTCTCATGGCAAATTTATCTGAGAACCTGCGATAAAGGTCTGGTCATTGTTATTGTTGCGATAAAGTACTAGTAAGTAGTAGAAACCTAAAATTTGACAGATTACATAATTTGATTACTTCAAAACCTCAGCGGCTCATTCACGGGTTCCAAATTTTCATTGCAAGACCTTATAAAGACATCAAGAAACTACTTCAGTAGTGTGTATGCAGTTGGCTGAAGCAAACAATAATTTATTATTAATATCATTCTACAGGTGTTGGAACTTCCCAGCTACCATTAAAGCACAAAACACATCAAAGGTTCTTGTCTAGATGTAACATTTAGACACTAAGCAATGCAAATTACCAACACAACTAAAAATGAAAAATCATTAGAGTGATACCCCAATTCGAAAATAAAAATCTATAGGCAAGAAATAAAAAACAAACTGAAAATTATCTTCTGTTAAACCTAAAAACAGAGAATAATCACTAAATCCCTCCAAGCATAAAACAGATAAGCTACTACATCTGCTGCCAAAGCACAAGACACAACTCTACTTATCAATAATAAAGAATATTGCTACGTATAATATTGTCAATCTTTACTGATACTCCATAAATACGTTAAGTACATGTAAATACCTCCCAAATTTGGACCCAAGAACTGAAAATTGAAGAGCAGAACTACTAGCAGTAGTAGCGAGCAAATGAATAAGCCAACACTAAAGCCGCCTCTCATCCCCTGACCTGCGGAGACGCTATCCTAGACCAACATCCCATCGCCCAGCCGGGTATCAGATGTCCACCTCGATCACTGTCCGCCTCGATCGACTATCGCTCGCCCCTCCCCACCTCGCTCTCAGTCCGCCTCTCTCGCCGTCCTAGTTCATCGTCCGCCTCGATGGCTCGCCGTGCACCTCGCTTCTCGACCGCCTCCTTAATCGCAGTTCATCAATGGAGCGCTGTTGGGCCCAGTAAAATATTCCTTCAGTTGGGCCGATGGATGCGGCAGTGTGCACCGATCCATGCAATCCAAAGGAAAACCGCAGCCCTCCAGTATGCTGTGAGTGATACTCTTTAGGTCACAGATTGTCCCATTTTACCTTTTCCGAAAGTCCCACTAAGATTGTCTCATACCAAATTTGGTAAAGTTTGTGTGTCTCTAAACCATTCTTACTTTATTTTTACTTTATAAATTTAATATCAACCACACAAACTCACTTTTCTTAATAGTCGTGTCACCTTCTCATGTCTCAATCTTAGTGGGACGGAGATAGTATTAAAGATAAGAATTAAAAGGGTCCAAGAGCAAGTCAAGAGGAGAAGTTAAACGTGGAGACAAAATAGGTGGTTGGTTCCTATTCTTGGAGAAGGGGTAGAATTTAGTTTATAAATACGTTTGTTCAGCACTACTGTAAGACACGATCAACAGAGATCAAACACATATTCATACTCAGCTATTCTTCATTCAATATTCGAGCATATTTAATTATTTATTCTAATTAGTGTATTTCGTACTACCCTTATTAATTCAGTCCATATTTGATTCTTCATTGCTGGATTCCCATTTCAATCATATTCTTAGATTAGTTAATTTCTAGTTAAAACAAACGCCACTCGTTAAAGTTGCAGCTTCTTTCGCTTGTATGTAGAGTATCGATTGAGGGATCGGGTTTTGGAGAAAGGGGCGGAGGGTTTCTGTTTCTGGTTCTCGATTAATGAAGAAAGGGGCGGAGGGTTTCTGTTTCTGGTTCTCGATTAATGAAGAAAGGGGCGGAGGGTTTCTGTTTGTAATTATTGAAGGATAGAGAAAAATAAAGATTAAAAGGGGAAGAGTTACGGTGGACGAGGGCGGATAACAAATTTTTTGGAAGGGCAGAAACAGTTGCAAACACTCCCTAAGTGTGATTTTTGTTTACTATATTGTTGAGTTTTTAGTTCAAATTTGGTATGAGTAAACTAAACTTAATGAATAAGATGCTCGAAAATTTTCATCAAAAAATTCCACCGAAAACCGCCCCAAATGGCGACGGCCGGACAGAGCGTCCTATATAAGGCCTTATTTGACCTTTTTATGTAAGTTCGACTGTTCGAGACCCTATTTGACCCTTTTCCCAATTTTTTATAATGGTCAAAGTTGTGTGTTGGCAAACGTGAAAAAGGGTTGCAATTAGAAAAGAACGGAAGAAGTATTTTTTTAAACTTTTACATTTTTGCTTAACTACTACTTAAAACTAAATGTTAATTGAATTCATCGGAATACGTAAAACTTATACAAAGCGTGAAGAAAAAATAAGCGAACACAAACCATACATAGAAGTTTATTGAGCGGAATATTTTAAGTACATTAGAGCCTGTTTGGTAACATGAAATTGGTTGAATCGGCCGATTCTGCTAAAATTTATGAAATCCTGAGTAGATTTGATGATTCTACTGAATTATGGTAAATTATATTTAAAATATATTTTATTAATAAAATAAAGAAAAAAATATGAAAAATAGTTTTTTAAGGAAAGAAAAATATAGTTAAAATATTCTTCTACGTTAATTTCAGCCAATTCAATTAGAATAGCAGCTTCAACCTTACTTTTTAACAAAAGTTATGTATTTAATAAAGAAAATTGGCTAATAAAACTAATATAGTGAAAAATAAGGTCACCACCCACAAACTCTTAGAGCATCTCGAATGTTCTTCTTTTGACAGAATCAAATTTTGCCAAATGTTAATTATTGAGAAGTTTGTCTATCCACATCATCTAGACATTGAAAGAATTAAATAGAAGTGCTCCAATCTACAAAGTTGAGATCTTCGAATATTTACACGCAGAAACAGGAAAGCTAAAACTAAGGGCAACCAATAGTTGCCCACAATGAATTTCAGAATTGGCAGGCTATTTTTGTGGAATTGGACGTATTGCTCATGATTTTCACTGAGTCACGATGTTAAGTAAACTTTGGAGATTCCAATAGAGGGGTTGAAAGTGTTTGCTCCATGTCACCATAAAAGAACTCACGAAAGAATCCATTGGAGAAAAATTACAATCACTCTTTTGAAATTGATATGATGATGTGTCAATTATTTATCACATCCAAAGAAGAACATCAGAGATGCTCTTAATTAAATTTGATCATGTTGATCAATTTTGTGCATCGTACGTAACTTTTTTTGAAACTTCTACATTTTTGCTCAACTACCATTTCAACCTAATTAGGACTAATGTGCACTTTAAACTTAACTTTAAGGGGAATTTATATTAGAGAAGGCTTAAATATGTTTTTTCTCCCTGAAAATATTACACAGTTTGTTTTAGGTTTCTGCAAAATATTTTTTTTTTTTGTTTTTCATCCTTGTAATATGCACTATTTTGTTTTTCACGAATTTCACTTCACTTAAAAAAAGTCATTGTGAGTTGAAATTCACGAAATAGAAATCAGATCATTATTGGGTTGTTATTCTCTTGTTAGTGTTTATGTTGGGTTTGTCAATTTGTTTGGGAATTTAGCCTTTTTTTATGTCATTGGGTATGTTTGGATGTATGGGAACATGGATGTTTGTGTCAAGCCCGGTGCATGGTTAGCGATTCATGTTGCTCTTTTAGGAGTGACCGTCTCTAAGTGTGATCATAGGGTTTACAGTCGTAGTTGTTGGAGTTTAGTTGGTGTCAGATTTGTTTTTCCTTTGATTGATGTAATGATCCTGAAACTTATGATATGAATAGAGGCAAGTTTCCGTTCAAAAAAAATTGAGACTAATATGAAAGTTAAAATATTGCTTTGTAAAACTAAGTATTCACATTTTCAAAATATATATTACAAGCCTTCGAAAAAAGAAAATCAATTTGTTTAATAGCATGACAAAGAATTAGAGGAAATCTATTAGTCGGGATTACTTTGAGGTCAAGCGGATGTTGTTATCATCAGTCATGGACTAAAACGAAAACTAACAAAAATTGCAGGGACGAAAAAAAAATGCAGGCATGTAAAACAAAATGTACTATATTTACAGAGACTAATAACATATTTAAACCTAAAGAGAATAATAGGGTTAATAATGTGTCTAAAGTAAATGTATGAGGATCCATCATCTTCATATTATGAAAGCAGAACTCCTCTAAAGATGAGTAAAAACATTTTGAAATGTGAAAATATGAGTATTGTGTTTTGTTCATGAAATAGAAATCATTATTGCGATGAATGCAAAACATGATCATTAATGGTAATATAATGACATGTTAATGTCTAATATTGCAATTAATCTTGGCAATAATAATTCCAAGATTAACAGTGTCAAATAAGTTCACCTACTATTAGGGATAAGTCAATTGAACCCCCAACTCAAACATCATCCAATTAAACACACAAACAATTAAAAATGAAGTCCCGGTTATTTTGGCACCCAATCAATTGGCACTTGATATTATGATGTGACATATTTTTTTTGGTAGTTTCTATGGTACCCATAAGGTATCATACATTTGTCCATATGGACCAATGAAAAGGTAGCAGTTGAATTATTTAAAGGTAAATTCTATGGTACCCATAAGGTACCATACCTTTGTCCACATGGACCAATGGGACTGTTGCAGTTGAATTATTTAAATCTAAATTAAAAGTGATAAAGTGATGTGGTCCAATCAAATGAATGATAGGTACGGTACCCCCATTTTTTAAAAGGGTACCGGAGTTGTCACCTTATTTAAATCTAAATTAAAATTGATAAAGTGATGTGGTCTAATAAAATGAATGTTAGGTACGGTACCCCTGTTTTTAGAAAGGTACCAGAGTTGTCACCTTTTTCTTTCTTTCTTTCTTTCCCTCTCTCTTTCTTCATCCCGTCTTCACTCAACTGCAACTTCCTTCTCTCTTCCTTAATTGCTTTATTTCCTCATTCTCTTCATCCCAATTCTCTGCTTTGGGCCTTAGGGGTGTTTGGATCTGATTCTCAAAACTGATTCTGCTCTTTCAAGGAGCAGAAGCAGAAGCTGGAGTGTTTGGGTGAAATTCCAGAAGCACTTCTGGTGCTCTAATTTACTCTCACAATCAGTTTTTTTAGAAGTTGGGGGTACCAGCTTATGAAAACTGATTCTGATTCTGCTTCTGCATTCTTCAGACCCCTTACTTCAGCCTCCTTAGTCCTCAAGATCATAATGGTCTCCCGTCAGCCGTGGGTTGAGCCGTCAACCAAGTTAAGGACCCACATCAGCCCTCCCATCAATCTCTAGCAAGCCGAAGTGGCAAAACCAATTAAGCGGGGAAGGGAATGATGAACAGAAAAAGGACCGACGAGATTCACTTTCCCGTTCTAACCGTTGAGCCCTTCTTTTCAACGTCTTTCGTGCTGCCATCCCCAGAAATTCCTGAAGAAAGATGCCGAGAACCTTTGGCCTCAGAAGAAAGCGAATGGGTGTAGGGAGATAGAAAGAAAGAGAAAAGAACATATACATGTTTATCGGATGAATCATTGTTAACCTTTTCTTTTGGAATAATATAACTTATAGGGAAAATGGAAACTAATAATCCAACCTTTTAGCGATCTTCTTACAATAATCCAACCTTTTGGTTATTCATGAATAATCCAACCTTTGCACCTCATCTTCATTCACTGGTCCCTGACCGGTTGATGACCTGCTATTCCAAGCTATTTTCTTATCTTTGCAAATCATTATACCATAAATCTCATCTTTCACAAAGATAATATTTTGCAAAGATAAGAAAATAACTTGGAATGGTAGGTCATTAACCGACCAGAGACCAATGAATGAAGATGAGGTGCAAAGGTTGGATTATTCATGAATAATCAAAAGGTGGGATTATTGAAAGAAGACCGCTAAAAGGTTGGATTATTAGTTTCTATTTTCCCTAACTTATATTTAAATAACATAACTTAAGCAAGTTACAAAAGGACAAAAAGTCTTATGTCTATCGTCCGCAATCGAATGAGACTTAGAAATTATCACCTTTGTAGAAGCAATAAGATTTGTTGATCCTATAATGGGCTTAACTCAGCTTATGACAAGCAAACCACGCTTCTCATCACCTGACTTAA